AAACTCTATTGCAACAAGCCCAAACTCCAGGCCCAACACTCAAGGCCTACAAATGAGACTTAGCCCGAAAGTCCACAGTGAGGTTACACGGGGGGTACCTCCCTTGGTACGCTCAGCGTACTCACGAATCTAGATTGGCCATCGGGGACACTGGGTCAGTACGCTGGGCATACTGGAATTACGCTCAGCGTACTTCCCAGATTCACTCTTTCTATTCATTTTGCCTTAACCCGTTAATACATTAACTCAAATCCCAGATCTGGACTCCTTAATGGCTCTTACTCCATAAAGTCGGTGACTTTAAGCCTTTGGATGGCTGGTAAGGTCACAAACACCCAAAACTCTCATTTTCTCATCTCAAAATGTGCATATCTCATGCATGGGTTGATTCTCACGTCCAAGACCTCATTTTTATGGATCCTCTCCACTAGAAACACTTAAAAGGACAGATATTAGGCTCTGGAGTGCAACAACTCATAAAGCTTCAAGCTTTGGGACCAAAAACCCTAAAATGGACCATATCATGCACAAATCAAAAGGATGGGAAAGCTTTGAGCTTTATACCTTCAAATGATGCTCCAACCACATAAAAGCTCAGATCCAAAGCCTGGACTCAAACTCTATTCTCTTCCATGCTCCTTCTTCACTCCAAAAATCCCACAAGAACACTTATAAGCTCACAATGATCACTCAAGCTCAAAGAACGGGAATTAGGGTTTTGAGAGAGTTGAGATCTGGAAATGATGGCCAGGAATGAGGCCATCTTATTCTTTATATAGGGACACCCCCCCTCATTTAGGGTTTTCACTATGTGCCTAGTACGCTCAGCGTACCCTCTGGTACGCCCAGTGTACTAGGTGGCTCCGCTTCATTTTCACGCTCATGAGTACGCTAAGCGTACACACATGTACGCCCAGCGTACTCAGCTGCCACTTTTCTCAATTAAGGGACTTATCTCTCTAAGACTTCAAACTGTCGTAGCTTCCTCGTTATAATTTCGTTTCCCATGAACCTCATATCCACAGAAAGGCAACAAGAAGCCCTACGCTTCTAGCAACTCGTTGCTGCCCCGAGGCTTCCTCATGCTCGGGTTGCATCCCATGAACCTTAAATCATGGATGATCCGGAACAGGATGTTACACTAATCTTAACAAAACCTCTGAACCTAAATATTATTCTGAAGCTTCATCTAATCCTAATTGGATCAAAGCTATGAATGAAGAAATTGAAGCATTATACAGAAATCATACTTGGGATATAGTTGATCTAGCTCAAGGTAGAAAGCCTATTGGTTGTCGTTGGATTTATAAGCTTAAATATAAATCAAATGGTGAGGTTGAGAGGTATAAAGCTAGACTTGTTGCTAAAAGGTATAATCATAGAGAAGGCATAGATTATGAGGAGACTTTTTCTCTTGTTGCTAAGATTGTTACAATTAGAATTCTTATATGTGTTGCTTTTAGTAATTCCTGGCCTCTTTACCAACTTGATGTGAATAATGCTTTTTTGTATGGTGATTTAATTGAGGACGTATATATGGTTTTACCTGAAGGATATCATACTAAAAATGACAACAGGGTATGTAAACTTGTAAAGTCTTTATATGGTTTAAAACAGGCTCCTCGAAAATGGAATGAAAAATTATGTGCTTCTTTGTCTAAATTTGGATTTGTTCAAAGTATAAGTGATTATTCTTCGTTTGTGAGGTTCAAAAATGACACTATTGTGATCTTATTGGTATATGTAGATGATATTATCTTAACTGGAAATTGCAGTATAGAGATTGAAAATATTAAATTGTTCCTTAAGTCTCAGTTTAAAATAAAATATTTAGGGTTGTTAAAATATTTTTTGGGAATAGAAGTGTTGCCTACAAGTAATGGTGTGTGTTTAAATCAGAGAAAATATTGTTTGGAATTACTGCATGAATTTGGAATGTTGGGGTGTAAACCTGTTAAAACACATTTGGAGGTAAATTTTGTTTTTAGTAGGGATAATGATGATAATTCAAAATATGTGAATAATATAACAGAATTTCAAAAGCTTATAGGTAAATTGATTTTTATTACAGTAACAAAGCCTGAAATAAGCTATGCAGTTCAGGTTTTAAGCCAGTTTATGCATAAACCTAAAAAGTCTCATCTAAATGTTGCTTTTAGAGTATTAAGATACTTAAAAGATTGTCCTGGGAAAGGTATTGTTTTATCAAAATCCAGTTCTTTTGATATTGTTGGTTATGTGGATGCTGATTGGGCTAAGTGTTTGTCTACAAGGTCTGTTTCAGGTTATCTAGTATATTTAGGTAATTCACTTGTGTCTTGGAAAAGTAAGAAATAGAGCACTGTATCCAAATCTTCAACCGAGTCTGAATATCGTGTTTTGGGTTTTGTTACATGTGAAGTTTTGTGGATTTTAAAAATCATGAATGATCTTGGTTACAAGAGTTTAACTCCTGTAAATTTGTTTTCTGATAATGAGTTTGCTATAAAGTTAGCCTTGAATCCTGTTTTCCATGAGAAAACAAAGCATTTTGAAATTGATGTTCATTTCATTAGAGAAAAAATAGAAAATGGAATTTCGAAAATTGTTAAAGTTGATTCATCTAATCAAAATGCAGATATATTAACTAAGTCTTTAACTTCTTTTCAACATGATTTTTTATCAAAAAAGGCTTGGTCTTCAAAATAAGTTTGCAGGTAAGTAAAGTAATATTGTGTCAAATGATAAGTTTGAGAGGGGGTGTTGAAAGTGTTATAACATTTAGCAAACTTATAATTTGAGTGTGAAGGCTATATTGTGTTAAGTTATAAATTGTGTAGGGGCTATGTTTGTGTATTTGAATATGCAGGTGTGTGCACGCGGGTTGTAAGTCTGATCCAGGTCCATGGGTAGTCCATGGGTTATATGTTGCCCCGGGTATTTAAAGTGTAATATGTGATTATTCGCATCACAACTCAAGATATTTTTCAGTGTTATTCTCTCGTTTGTCTCTTATTCTTCGTAAGAGGGTTTCCGTTTTAGGGTTTCTGTAAAAACACGTTTGTGTGTGTATTTTGATTCCTTGTTTACATCTGAGAGTCTGAGTGTGATTGTAGTGAGGTTTTTGTTTGTATTTTGTATGATGAAAACCAACTGTTTCATAGTGAATGAAATGTTGATGTTGTGAATGTTTTGTGTTCTTGAGTTTGTTCTTTGAGTTTATACTTTGTTACAAACTTAAAACTCGATTTGCAAACAGGGAACAAATTTTTTATGGGAACAAGATTCAAAGAAGAAACAAATATACAAAGAGCCATTTTTTTGTGCAAATTTGTCCCCTTAAAAATATAAAAGATGAAGAATCATAAATCTATCCCATCCTGTTTTTCCCCTTACCATCGCAATTTATTCTCTAAAAAAACTCATCATTCCATTACCATCGATGTTGCTAGATGCCTTCATTGTCATCTTCTTTGTTTTTAAACTTCTTCGGTGGCTCATTTCTGATCACCATGCCCAACGGTACCAGCTCCATTAGCGAAGCATCATTGATGAGAGGGAAAAAAAACAATCTGGTTTTATTTAGGAAGTTATTGGTCGGTTTGTATTCAACGAAAAGTTGTGATGTAAGTAGTTTGGGAAGTTGGATTGCCTTAATCGATGTAGGTGTTGTGTCAGCGAAAACGATGGTGGTGGTGGTGGTGGAGGTGAAGTAGACCAATTGGAGTAAAGGGCAAGAACGAGTGATGGTTGTGTTTGTGGTTTCACTGGTGAGGGTGATATCCCCAAAACAAACCATATGGTGAAGTGGTGACTAGTGGTCAAAGAAGATGAGAGAGAGAGAGAGAGAAACGATGGTGGGTGATGGTTTTTTTTTTCTTTTACCCTTTGAATATATATATATATATATATATATATATATATATATAAGTTACAACTCGGCATAGTATTGATAAACACAAGGTGCAACTCATTTTGTTAATGAAATTTCACTTCGAAAAAGTTCATCAATATATATAAAATTGCATAAACTCGACATTACGTCAAACTTTATTTTTACACATAGCCATGTGGAACATGAACAACACTTCCCAAAATTTGTTTTGAGCACACAGCTACGAAAAGCCACTAACATGATTCTTTCTGTAAGCCCCAAAATACATATTTTTTTATAACTTCATCAAGTTTTATGTAATTTGAGAAAGAAAAAGAAAAAAGAGCATCTGGAAACATAAACCCTTCAGAGAAGCACAATCTGATCAAAACTTCCATCATTTTGTAGTTCCATGAAGCCTGCAAGAAAGATTTATTATAAAAAAGGTTAAATGAAAATACAATGTTATTTCTTGTATATAACCATTATTTATTACATCAAAAACCAATGGTGGGTTAACGTAACATGCCCTAGAAAAAATCCTTCTTTGATCAAATAGCGATGACTCATAAAGAAATAATTCCATAGAACAAATAACTTACCTTCTTTTAACTATGTAGGGTCTTATACTGCATTTGACATGCATTGGACTTGGATTGGCACTCAAACCGATGTCAATGAAACAAAAATTACAAATTTTTTGTCCCATTCAAAAAGGCTGACACAAAGTAATACTGATGTCAATAGGACAAAAACTGCAAATCTTGTCCTATCCAGAAAGCTGGCACGCATGTCAATAGTACAAAATTTGTAAAACTTGTCCCATCCAAAAAACTTGTACTTGTACTTCCATTGCTGATGTCACTTAGCAAAAAATTCCAAATCTTTTGTCCCATTCCATTGCTGATGTCACTTAGCAAAAAATTCCAAATCTTTTGTCCCATCCAAAAATCCAGTGTGTTTAGCTGATGTCAGTGGAACAAAAACTGCAAATCTTTTGTCCCATCCAAAAAGCTGATATTGATACTGGTATTGGTACTCTTGATTATCAAAAAGGTGGAACATGGACTTGCCCGTTGCCCCGATATCTCATCCATGCAAAAGACGAAAATGCCCTCCTCATCATCAAAAATAGGTCAACATTCATCTACGAATTACCAACACTCGGTATAATCAACGGGAGTAGCTTCAACTTACTCGAATCACAATTATCAGTGAGAGACAAAAGCCGATCCTCCAAAGTAGAATACGCATCCGCAAACGCCTTTATACATTGATGAATCCTAAAACAATTCCTTCCAACATTATTCGCAGGATACAAAGGATCGTCTATATAAATCGGATCAATACTATACCCCCTTTCTCTATTTATATAAACCCCACTCCCTTGAACCGAAATCCGCATCTGACGTGGATCAAACACGTTTCCAAAAAAGTAAAAAAAATCCATAAGAAGCCCTCCAAAGTTTTGATTAATTGGTCTCCCATAATGATGCTCATGTTGAAGAAAACGTGTTATCAACAAAATCAAACAATAAGAACTTAAACCACCGGAATACGATTGGTCCAAACTCCGGTCAGCCAGAAATTGTTTTAGGACAAGCGCGAGAGGGGTGGCGGCCGGAAACTGTTCCGTAAGTTCTTTTACTAATTCCGTTGTTTGTAATCCGGTGTGCGATGGTGCTTTGAAACTTATATCGATTCGGATCAATTCCATTCCGGTCAACTCCGGAATGGAATCATCGAAAGGAACTTGGACGACAAGCATGATGATTGGAATCGCGGTGTTTTCCACGATTTTGAGGGAGTCGTTTTTCACCCACTCTTGATTCGCGAGATACCGAGCCGCGTGTTGGAGACAGGTTTCTTTGATTCCATTCCGACCTTCGAGGATTCCGGCTTCTTTTATTGGTTCTAGGTTTCGAACGGGAGGGAGGCAAACCACGAGATCGACATCACTTGTCGGGAGAGATAACCCGGTTGCGTTTGACCCGAAGATGTTAGTTCGGGACCGCGGCCATAAAACTTGAAGCGAACGGGTAACCCGTTTGACCGCCCAGTTGATGTACGGTTTCCGGGTCAAGTTTACTCCGGCGACCCGTTTACAAAACGAGTCGATTTCGTCGTTTAAAAGACTGTGCATGACCGGAATCGTTGAACTACGAACGGTGGAATCTAATTCCGATTCCGGAGATTGAAGCGGAATCGCCAAATCCGGATGTTTTTCTTGCGAGATTGCAATCAAAGCTCCCGGTAATTGACTTTTCTTTCTCCATGAAGGCCAAACGACTTCACTTCCATCTACTCTCAAACACGCTTCTTCGAAATTAATTCCGTCATGAAACCACCCTTTCACGCCCCAATTCCGGGGACTCGAGCTACCGGAACGAACAGTCGGAAACCCGCGTTGCTTCCTCGAATCACCGCCGACCACCGACGCACCACCGCGCGGGACACAAAGAACCACCGGCGAAGGCGGCCGTTTCACCAGCGGCGGTTCTTCTCGTTTGCTAGGCGGCACACACGGCGATTTATGTTCGTACGTGTGGGCCCGCTTAAACTCCCGCGACCGGTCCCGCGAGATAATAATCGGTCGCAAAATCGGATACGGTGCTTCGATGTCCAAAGAACCGGAAACATTCACGTTCATGTTGATGTTCTCATCGGTGACTTTTCCGGTGACTTCTCCGGGGATAACGTATCCGATTGGATCGAAAGCCGAACAGAAAGATGCACCCGAAGGTGATGAAAAAGCAACCATGTCATCAACAGTCCGGTTCATGTCGGCTTCCTGCCACGCCCACGAGCTGTCATCGGAGCTCAGGGAAGGCGGGCGGGAGAATCCGGTGACTGGGTGGTCGGAGGAATCCCAATACATAACTCCACCACCAAAATACTGACTATAATCCATCCCGGAAACCGCAAAGTCTTCTTCACCCACCCATTGACCATCGTGCTCCTCCACGAACTCCGGAGAGTCAAAGTTTGACTCGCCGGAGAATCTCCGGGTGTCATCATTTTGAGGAGTGGGAATTTGTTTGAAAGATTGTCTTCTTGGCATAAAAGGGAGTAAGCCATTGAAGCTGTGAACCATTGGTGGCCAATCTAAGCTCATTGGAATGGGGCGATGGTGCACCATAGCTTCGGTGCACCCGTTTTCGATTGTCCGGTTTCTGACTGTGTGTAAAAAGCCTGATTGGTGGTAATGATTTTGCCAGTTGTGGCCCACATCTAGATGCAATCGATCAGTGGTTGTAGGGAGGTGTGAGTTTGTGAATGATAATTGAGGACCATTATTTGGCCATTCATATGGAGAGTTTCTAGAAGAGTTGACTATTCCACTTCCACCATGGATAACATTGACAACTGGTTTTTTCTTCTTTTTTTGTAATTTTAGTCTTTTCTTTCACTTTCTCAAGAGGTGATACATTGGAAGAATTGATAGCTTCTGTTGAATTGTCATCAGTGAGAATGGCATTTGGTGTAATTTTGGTGTCTGGAATTTCGGGTACCAATTTCGGGTCTTGAGAAACGGGTGATGAAACGGGTTTTGAAGGGGTAGTTTGGGAAACGATGCTTTTGGTGGGGTTATTTACAATTATGCCATCTTTTTTATGTTTCTTTCTTGCTCTTTTGCCTTTCTTTGAGGTGGTTTGAACTGTTACATTAACAACCATTTCAGGTGTGGATAGAGTCTCTTTTTCAATAACCTTTTCATGAAGTATACTACCCAATTTATCTCCATCATCCTGAAATATTAACAGAAAAAAAAAATCAGAAAATAGCAATGTACTTTACTAGTGTTACCAATATAGGTATTTTGCATACAAAAATGTTTTTTAAAAAAAAAGCTTTTCTATAGAAAAAAATGGAGGTATTTTAAATGTAAATATCTTTTTTTTGTATAATTATGAACTTATACAGCTAAAAAACCATATTCGAAACAAAATTTTGAAAAAAAAAGATGTAAAAAAACTAAATTTAGGATGAATTCGTAACAAAATTTTGAAGTTTGGGCCAGTTGCCAAAAGGTTTTTATATAGAAGGAAGGTTTTTATGTGAAAATATGTTTTTTGGTATAAATAAGATTTTATACAGCAAAAAGAACATATTCAAAACAAAATTTTGAATAAAAAGATGTAAAAAAGAAACTAAATTTATGATGAATTCGTAACAAATTTTTGAAATCTGTGGCCAAAAGTGTAAACTTTAGACCAAATTTGTAATAAAATTTAAAATTTGAGCCAAAAGTGTAATTTTTGAAAGTGGGATAACTCGTATACCAGGTAAAACCGAAAAAGGGTCAAATGAATACAATTGATTATTATGGGTAAAAATATAGCATATTCCCTTTATTGGTAAAAAGAGTAAAGTATGTTGCCATGTTCTATAATTTTCAAGAGAAAAAATTGGTTTTAAAAGGATGTACAAATATTTAAATACCATAAATAAGACTAAAAACACACCTTGGAAGGCTTCTCAGGAATGGAATTACTCTTGAAAGATCTTTGAACAGGAATCTGTTTTTTAACCTTCCCTTTTTTACTAGAAACAAGTTTTGGTTCTGGATTCTTGGTTGACTTTGTTGACCCAAAATCTTCAAGGAGCTCAAGTTTTGTGAAATCAAGTGAAACCACCATGAGCAAACCTCGTATTCTTCTTAATATGCAATCAGAAATTGTATTAATGGAACCCAATGAGGTAAAGAAAAGTACTCCTTCATCAAATTGACTATGCTCAAATGCTTGTATCATAGTTGAAATCTCGCAAACAAGTAAAAGGTGATTTAATTTATGAGATATTGAAGATGATAATTTATCATGTTGAGAGATAAATAGAGGATGCTTGTATCTTGAGGATTGTTTATCATTATCTCCTCCATTAATGGTCTTCAAGTCATCTTCAACACCACTACTTCTTCCATTTAGAATTTCCTGAGTCTGAAAATAATAAGCTTTTTATTATTATCTGAGGAATAATCCAAACCTGATTATTTTGACCCTAACCAATTATAATCGTTATTAAATCAAGAGCACAAACAATAAAGGAGTTTAACAGATAAGTACCAGAAATCTTGTAGCTTTTCCCAACACAGTTCGAAAAACTTTGTTCTTCATTTGATCATCCAACTTCATCCACCAATCCACACACCCTTTCTTCCTCCAATAAGCATTTGCTGCCACACCTGCAACTGCACAAATAGACTTCTCTTTCAATTTCACACCTCTCTTCTTTCCAATATTCAAATGCAACCATGACAATCTCAAAGCCAACTCCAATCTATTGGCCACAAACGCCTCCACACTATAATACCCTTTCGCCTTTAACCAATTAAACTCCATCCAATCCAATGATCCCGACAACACACTCTCCTCCCCTCTCAAAAACTCGTCATTTGAAACCCCATCCATAGCCTCAACAAACGTATCCACATTTTGAACAAAATCTCTACTAACCGTAACAGAATCTAAAGAGGTAGAACAGCAAGAACCAAAGTTTTCACCTTCTTTCGAATCAAACAACTGTACCGATTCACGAATAGACCGCTCAGGCTTCGAAACCTGGCTAATTCTCTTTAGCAGCCCATGGGATTTCCGGAAACAGAAACTGGGGATGTTAGGGTTTGATGAAGACGAGGGGATGTCAGGGAGGATGATGAAAGAACCATGACCATGATCTTTGAGTTTGAATTGCATTTGGATTAGAAGTTGTGTGAATGATTTGTCGACGATAGTGAGGTGGGATTGTCTTTCGTGAGGTGTGAGTGATGAGAACCATTTGAGAATTGAGGATCTCGGGTTAGGGTTAGGGTTTGATGATGAAGATGGTGAGTTGGAATTGTATAGAGAGATGTGGGAGGTGAGGGAATCAATCAATTGACGCTTTGATTCCATTTTTGTTGTAAGAATTGGATAGAGAAATGGGGGATTTTGTGAATTTGGTACGAGAAATTAGGTGCTTGTTTGAGAAAATTTTCAAATGTTTGGTGAGGGGGAGGAACCACACCGTAACACCAGGAGTTGACAAAAAAAGGAATTCTTTGCATTTTGAGTATTAGATTTGTTTGTTAAAACTACTAAAAATTGAAAGTATAATTTTTAGGGATGAGCATTTATACGGTGGAATCGGACCGGACCGAAAAAAAAAAAAAAAACAGAATTGGAATTGGTTCGGGCAGGGTTTGGAACCGAACACATTCTTAAAGGCATACTTACTTGTAGAACTGAAGCGGAACAGGACTGGGGTATTCTGTCCGGTTCCTGGTTCTCTATTTTCTCGGTTTCCGGTTTTTCTGTTCTCGATCAGGTTCCGAATTGATGCTCGTCCCTAATAGTTGTTATTTATATATAGTTGTTCGACAAACTAGATCAAAACTTTTAAAAGTGTAAAAAGCAATATATAATCAAAAGCTAAAAATTCTCAAATTTTTTTGAATAAGTGGCTCTTTGAAAAAAAAAAGTTAAAAACATGTATTGTTAAACGAAACTTTTCCTTTAGCTCGTGTTTTTTCTTAGAAACTCGTTGCGAGCACATCCTTAATCGTAAGATACCATATTTATATAAATTTCGTGTAATTTAAACTGTGTGTGTATATATAGAAAAAATTTTGTTGATTTTTTTTAAAAAAAAAAGGGATAATGACTTAAAAGGGTAACATATTATTCGATTTGTACACATTTGGTCACTGAGTTTTTTTTTCGTCCACATTTACCCCTTAAACTTGTTAAACTGTACACATTCAGTCCTTATGACCTGTTACTCCAGGTTAGCCTGGAAAAATGACTTGATAGGGTAATATATTTTTCATTTTGTACACATTTAGTCCTTAAGATTTTTGTACATATTTAGTCCTTAACATTTTTTTTGTTTCAAAATAAGTCCTTTTTTTGTACGCATTCAGTACTTATGAATGATTTCTTTAGGTTTTTTCACGACATCTTACGTGAGACAATCATTGATGAGGTGCTTGGGGTTGTTGATGCTTATGTCCAATGCGATCTCGACTGCTTGGTTGCGTAAATCTTGTGGTTTGGCTTAGGTCTTGTATTTTGAACATCGTAACTTCTTCATACGATATCAGATTTTAAGGATCTTTATCCACGTGTTCATTTTTTAAGTCTACTACAACTTTCATTAAGATTACTCCCGTTAAAATGTAATATATTTTTACTAACGATTTTATAAAAAAAACATACATACATGCATTCATAAAAAACGTATGGACATGGGAAGACGCAGTAATACATAGTAGGTGCTGCCGAGATGAAATAGGTGTTGTCGATACATGGAAAATACGTATAAACGTAAAAAATAAAGCGAAAATTTTTCCACTGCGAACAGAAAAAACAGGTGTTGTCGGTGCAACATCGGGACCATACTAAATCCATCACCGCGTATGGATATAAAAATCGTAAGTAAAAATATATTATTTTTTAATGGGAGTAATCTAAATGAAAGTTGTAGTAGATTAAAATATGAACGCATGGATATAAAGATCGTTAAAATCCGAGATCATATGAAGAAGTTATGACGTTCAGAACACATGACCTAAGCAACAAAGTAGTCGAGATCGCGATGGATATAAGCATCAAAAGACCCATACACCTCATTAATGAATGTCCTACGTAAGATTTCGTGAGAAAAAACTAAAAAATCATTAATAAGTACTGAATGGGTACAAAAAAATGACTTATTTTGCAAACAAAAAAAAAGGACTAAATGTGTACAAAAATATTAATGACTAAATGTGTACAAAGTGAGAAATATATTACCCTATTAAGTCATTTTTACCGGGTAACTTGGAGTAGCCGGTCATAAGGACTGAATGTATACAGTTGAACAAGTTGAAGGGGTAAATGTGGACGAAAAAAAAACTCAGTGATCAAATGTGTATAAATCAAAAAAATATATTACCCTTTTAAGTCATTATCCCTTAAAAAAAAACTAGCGGTTTTTTAATAAAAAAAGTTTGAAATTTTAACCATTTTTAACCAATATTAATACTCACATCAAACTCCGCCTTCAAAATTATAACCATTTTTAATGGGTATTAATTTCAATTACTTCTCTCAAACCATTTATACTCTAGCTTCAAAATATCTTCTCCAAGAATTTATAAAATCCCAGAATTTAAAAATAAATAAAATAATAAAAAAAAATTCTACAAACCCCCAGTTCTCATTGTGCTTTAAGTGTTTTAATATGTTTTTCTATGCATTAAGTGGTGTAATTTTCCATTCAATTCATTAAATTCTAATTTTTATAAAATTTAGTTGTTCAAATAAAAGAATAAAACCGACAGGGCCCCACTCCCTCTAACTAACCTTATCAACTATCAGCTTGTTTATCAACTTTTCACCTAGTCTACAAAACACAACCTACGTATAAAAAAAATAAAAATAAAAAAAAAGATCTGACGCTTCCAAAAAGGGAATAACACAAAGCTCAATTCTAACACGATCTAATGCCATATATTATGTTACACTCATAAAGTTCGAGGTCATGCATATTTAATGACTTAACTAGAGCAATTCTACAACAAACCATACATATATTAATTTTACAAACAAAACATTTTTTTTGTAGATCATACATTTCAACATGATTATCGAAAAAGCCTTTGAACTGATCTTTTGGGTATCTTGCCTTCTAATTTAAGCCTTCTATATGCTTCTCTGACGTGGCATGGCCTGAGGGGCCCACTCTCTTTTCTCTCTTTCATCACCACTTTCGCTACAAAAGTCATCCATACACGTCATAATGAACAATTTAATGCAAAAGTAACAACTTAATAAAGAATCTCATATTTTTCATAGCTATCTAGTATAGGGTGCTTTTTTTCATTCCATCATGAAATGGGATGAAATTATGTGATTAAAACAATTTTAAATAAAAAATTGTGTGATTAAAAATAAAATTATAACATAAAAATTATTTCTACCTGTTTCAACAAGTTCACCAACAAAAATCTTTGCAATTCCAGATACCACAATAGTCATGGGCATAGAGATTTTATTGCTTCCAGTAATACTACCTAACAACTGCATTCACACCAAAAATGTTAATTACAATTTACAAATATTAGAGAAGGGTAATTACGTCTTTTTACACAGACAAACAAGAGAAAAAGACGTACATACCCTTTTCATGACAGATTTCTGAAATCCAGATCTTCTGAAAGATTCATATCTACTCATTTGTTCCTCTGTAAATTGTGACAAAATAGACCTGGGAAAATAAATTAAATTATAGAAATTACTTTAAGTAATAACCTTCTATTTATTTGACATGTTACATTTTTAGCTAAACTATAAAAAAAATTTACCCATTTTACCCTTTTGAGATAAAATATAAATAAATAAATCGATTAAATACTTACTGCATCTTGGCCATCTTGGAAGGATCACTGGATGATGGTAACTTTCCAAGTTCAACATCCATGTTCTCTTCTTCTTCTTCATCATCATCTTCTTTGTTTTTCCCCATTTTGGTAGTTGCTGACGTGGCAGCTGATTTTTGTGGGTTTCTAGAACGGATTGTATTGTCCACGTCAGCACCCTGAGAGTTGACTACTGGTGGTGCATTGGGAGTTTGGGGTTCAGTCTCATCATGAGCAGTTGGTGAATTGGGTGGTGATTCCTCGTGTTCTTCAGCCACTACTTCAAATGGATCCTTGGATTGTTGCATGCTGATTTCTTCAAGATTAGATGAAGTAATGTGAGTTTTGAATTTTGATTTTGGTGTTATTTAATGAACTATCGATTTTTTATCAACGTATTTAGGGTTTTTTTTTAACATGAAGTCGCACTTTGACTATGCGTCTTGAAATACTAAGAACAAATCTCAGAGTACAGACAACACAGATGCAAAAAATACTGTAGAGTTGCAAAGAACTCACTTAGGAATTTTCTCGAACACCTTATATGCAATGCAGCGTCTTTATAAATAAAGGATACCACGTTACCTGATTGAACAATTTTTTTTGTTTATGTTTTCATATGTCGTTTCTAGACCTACTCATGGTTCGACTAGTCGTTTTATTCTAAGATTTATGATTTTCGAGTTCGAGTAAGTTGACTGGTTGGTTTTCAGCTCAAAAAAATGAGAACTAAATACACAATGGGGATCTAGCAGCGATTTAATGGAAGAAAGGGGGAAATTTGTGCGATTTATTACCTGAGTTCCTCGGAGGAGGTGGACAGCAACCGCGATGACGAAGATTCGTGCAACGATCAACGGAGAAGATGGATTGCTATGGCGGTACAGCAGCGATTTTGGTGGGTTATGCGGGCTATGAGGGAAAGGGGGGAGAAACAAACGAGGGTAAACATGGAAAAAAGCAATGTATCTACTATTTAGGTAAATTATGTATATAAAATAATCGACAAAATTGCAAAAATGGTCTTGTGTTCCATTTTGGTTAAAAAAAGTTTTGAATTAGCACCTGTTCAAAACTTTGATTTTATTAAGAATTTGGTCTAATTGTTTTGAGTTTTTTTTTTTTTTTTTTTTTTTTTTGATAAAACTACATAAATGGTCTGTATAGTTTATCGAAAATTGTCATTTTGCTTTAAAAAAATTTAATTAGCACCAGGGATTCAAACTTTTTATTTTGTTGCAAGTTTGATTCAATTTGTTTTGAAAATATTTATAATGACGGATTTGCCCTTATTCTTTTCTTTTTTTATATGTTTTATTAGTTTTCTGATTAAAAACTAAAAATAAAAAGAAAAGAAAAAATATAATCCCACCACCCACGTGATTCCTAAATCAGACAACCATCATTTCTCTTTCTCCTTTCATTCTCATTGGAGATACTCACCATCGGAGATCATCTTCTTCGATGGTTTTCAGACCACCACCACCATCTATTGTTGTTGGAGCCGCACCTTTTGTCGGAGCAACACCATCTGCATACTTATTATAGATCTGGAAACGCGAAAAACGGAAGCGACGTGTTAGAAAGACGATTTTGCACAGGTTTTCAGATCAAGAAGGGCGAGAACGCAATGGTTAGGATTTCTGCTATCGGAGAAGGTGAATCGAGAATATCAGAGAGCGATTCCGACGTCCGTCAGCAAGAAGGGCGGCAACGGTTCTAGGTTTTTTTACAAATATTGAAAATTTTAAACGACTGTGTGTATTCGTTTTCAGGTTCATCAGTGTGGTTTACAAATCTATATTCGTGTTAATTTTTGGATTTTTTATATGAGAATACTAGGGTGTTACAAATCTGGTAATTAGTTCTTGTGATTTTACAAATCTTGTAATCAGGTATTCTTGTGGGTTTACAAATCTGATTGTTATTCTTGCTTTAGAAATCTGATTGTTCGTGTGTTATGGAGTGTTTGTGTGTCGATTTATGTTGACCTTGTTAAATATGAGTGTTGTGTATCCGATTTGATCTTCATATGTTTAAGAAAAATTGAGATTGGTTGTTCTATGTGTGTGTTTGAGTTAGAAGTTGGTTCAAATTTTCATCTGGTTCCATATCTTCATCTTGTTCATCTTTGTATATGTGTGTATAAATCAGGAAAAGAGATACATGGTGAGAGTTTAAAAATATGATAATTTTGAGTTTGAGTTGCAGCTATGGGAAATTTAGTTTAAGTTTATCAGATGGTAGTGACCGGTTGTGGTGGAAGTCGTGGTGACCGATGGTGTTAACTGGTGGTGGTGGTGGTCTTTTGAAGTAAGCATTTTAAGAGAGGGAGAAAAACGAGTATTAGAATGGGTTTTAGTTTTGTTATGTTTTTTATTATTTTTTAATTGTTGTAATAAAAGAAAAATAAAAAATAAAATAATACGGAGAAAAATCGTCATTATAAAAAAGTTCAAAGCAAATTGGACCATATTCGCAACAAAATGAAAAATTTGGATCTGTGGTGCTAGTCCAAACCTTTTTAGACCAAAGTGACAAATTTTTAGGTAACCACGGGGAGTATTTGTGCAGTTTTGTCTTTTTTTTTTTTCAAATGACATATTTAACATTTTAATTTTATTTTTTTCATTTCTTTTTATTACAACGATTAAAAAAACATTAAAAATAAATAAATAAAACCCCCACCCCACCTCTCCCCCTTTCTCGTCCTTCTCTCTCTTCTCTACAATACTCATCTTCTACATGATTTTCACAAAGAGAAATACCACCACCACCACCGGTCATAGATATAAACGTCGTCGACGACTAAAGATATGAACGCCACCACCACACCGGTCAAGACCATCAGCAGTAGCCAGAATATGTCAACGTCACCACCAATGTTGAACCTCCTAAAAAACCCTCGATTTTACGGCGAACAAGACAAAGCGAGATCTATTGTTTCAGTGGCGCTGAAAACCATATCTTCAACTTTAATGAAGGTGGCGCTGAAAACCCTTTGGGTTTTTATGCCTCTGACAAAAAAAAAAGGTATGGTCGATTAGGGTTTTATGGCGGCGATGGAGAGTGGATTAGGGTTTTCTGGCGACTGTGTTGTAAGTTAACCACAAAGGGTTGGTCGATATTTTATTACTCCATAGCCATGCTATTTGATATTTATTAGACAAAACTGTAAAACTGGTCTCTGCGGTTTTGGTCCATGAAATACTTGAAAAGTCCATTTGAACCTTTAATTTCTTTTCACATTATTTTAATATTTACTAAACTTTTAAACAAATTAAAAATAAAAAGTGTCCCACCCAACCCCATTGTACCTTATCCCACACTCTCTCTCTCTCTCTCTCTCTCTATATATATATATATATATATATATATATATATATATATATATATATATATATATATATATATCGTTGAAATAGAAAGAATGATAGCGACTGGAAACAAATCAACGCAGTCTAAACACCCTCTGCCATTTCGATCAATGTCTAGGGGTCTTGGTCGGTGATGGCAATGATGGGGACACTATCAACTCAAGCAGCGTATCTGCAAAGCCTCTTACCATATTGGTGGCTCTGGGGCACAAACTACACGAGCTAGCTTCTATACTCCGTGACAAGATTCATGCTTGCGATCTGGTTGAAGGACAAATGGGAGATGGTGGTTCCACTGTTGGCTGGAACTTCTGTCACACCCCCAAACCGGAACGGCGGAAACGTTCGGGGGCGGAGGACGTCATGCTTAGTATCACAACACATGCATTATAGTAATCAAAGTAACAAACAACCATTTCATTTATATGAAATTGTTTACAAAGTATGAGATTCACATAAGATAGGCTCCAAAAGTAAATAACAAAACAAGACATGAAGCTACTATGCTCCATCTTTTGAATCCAAGTGCGCGAACCTGTCTACTATTCTCCTGAGAATACAAGTTATTTTGAAAGCGTAGATCAACATTTAAGCTGGTGAGTTCATAAGTAATTTTAGTGATGTAAAGTAAACTGAAAGTTCTTTTTAGAAAAGTTCGCATGTTCCTCCAGAAAATCCTATATCTTCTGATATAATGATAGATAAGTAAAAATGACTCTACAATTCCTTCTATGAGTACTAAATGGATACAACTTATATACAATCCAGATCAAACAGACAATCGATTGTGTAAATCTGCCCTAAGCCCACAACCAAACAAGGAACAGGAAATGAGGCGGAAGTCACACATCCCATTGTTTGTTAGGTCTTCACTGTATATAACCCTGACGTATTCATTTGGTACTTACGGAGTTAACTGTAATAGTTCTTTATATTTGATGAAAACATTCTTTAAGAAAATCATATATTTCCTTTAGTAAAAATGGTAACCACAATAGTCCTTCTATAATCACTTAGTTTATACTAGCTATATAGAATCTAATATCGAATGGAAAGTTAAATGGGTGAATATGCCCTAAGCCCACAACCAAACAAGGAACATGAAGTAAGGCGGAAAGCACACATCCAACTGCCTATCAGATATTAATTACATATAACCCTGATGTATAAACTAAGGTATTATAGAATTAACCACTAAAGGTCCTTTAAGTTATACTGGTCTAATAAAATGGATTAAACCCTTTTGTTGATAAGTTTCTAGTTTAGCCTACTAAATGTTCTATCTGAAAAAGTATGTTTTTTTACTAGAAAATGGTATATTGAATTTGTATACTATGACCTGACCCATACCTGGTACTCCTTATGATTACATGGTGTATACGGAATATATATAACTAAGATCGAATAGATAGTAGACTGGGTGCATCTGCTTTAAGCCCACAACCAAACAAGGAACAAGAAATGAAGCGGAAAGCACACATTCTACTGTCTACCGGACCCGATTAATATATATCCCTGATGTATCTTCCGAGGAATCATAAAGTTAGCATTATAGGCCCCCTTCTAACTGAATGTACTAAGACTCGACTATTCTATTTGTCTTTTGTAATGATGTAAGTTTTCCCAAGTTTAAGACTATCTTTACTAGAAAATAGTTTGCATTACCTTTTATGTGAGAATATCACTATATGAATGTAATGGGAAAATGAAAGTATTCAGTAATATTGTATAAAGTAACTACTGAAGCACTAACTACCTTAAAACCAGTTTGTTAATTAAGGTTAAGATGTGATGTGGTTATAACCATACTGATTGACAAGTGTTTAACACGACAACCTGCTGGCGTCGAAACTGATGTGACATTTGTCACCCCTTGGCCTGCCGACCAAACTGTAGCGAACAGTCGGGATGCGGGCTTGTCAGTCCCGTATAGATCTATACACACAATGTCCGTTCTCCCTCCAGGAGACTCTGGTTACAAAACGCGACCTAACAAGTATATTGCTAAGCCGTGAAGTAGTGGTTTCACATTATTGTTATCTTGTTCTTGTTATCGTATGTTTCTTCTGTTCTTGTTATTGTATGTTCCTCCCTGTTCTTGTTATTGTATGTTTTGAACCCCTAAACTATACCTATTATAGTTTACTAGTATGCTTGTTTTGTACTGTCTCTGATTTGTATAAAAGACTCGATTATCTACTTAGTTATCATTGTACTTTAAAAACAGAGTTTTATAAACAACAAAGTAACATAACTTTAAAAGAGTTTTTGAAATGATTTGATCACTTATAAAAGCATAAGAAATCCTTTAAAATGATGTTTATCACAGATAACATTTACACAATTATCATTGTGTTCAACTTGTATTCCCCCCCCCCCCCCCCCCCTTAAAAGCATTTAAAACATTTAAAAGATTGATTATAGGGGTATGAACTCACCTTATGTGGGTGATTCAATTGAAGATTCGTGTAAGGATGAGAAGTTCCACGAATGAATTTCCGAGGCAAAAACGAGTCCTAAATGACATATAATGGCATATATAGGCATGTAATAGTGTTTATGAAGAGTTGAATACTCTTTAGATCGATTAGATCTTTAACAGGTAAATCAATAAGAATGACAAATACTAGAACACGCAATTAATCAACCGTATGTCGAATGATTAAAATATAGTCACACCTCATAAGAGCTCAATTAAGAACTTCCTCTGTAGAGGTGTGCTAGGGTTTACAATACAATTAATATGATAATAATCAAAAGCGTTAATGACAAGGATGCATGCATGCACCTTATATACTAAACCCTAGAAAGATAAACACGGTTGGACAGGCCCAAACCGAGAGTACAAAATGGACTGAACTACTAAGGCCCAATGGCGCAACCCTTTAAACCCAACAATCTCCCCCTTTGCGCCAATTGAGGCGAGAGACTACTTTGGTTGAGCAGGAGCAGATGACGTCACGGTCTTGAATAGCTTCGGTATAATGGCAAGCAGAGTTTGACGAAGGTGAATATACCACCGAAGCATGTCCGTAAACAACTTCTTATCTGCCTCACTGTTCTGGTCAC